ATTATATTATATAACTATATATTATATAATTATATAAAAAATAATTTTATTTATAAAACTTATAATTTTTTTATATTTTAAAAAATAAAATTTTGAAAAAATACAAATTTTTTGTTAAGATTGTAATAATATTAAAAATATATATATATATTTTTTAATTTACATAAAATTAATATAAAATAAAAAATTATCTAATGTTTAAAATAACATAAAATAATATAATATCAAAATATACCAATTGATAAAGAATTCTTTTTATAGCACCAAATGGATGTTTGCAGTATTATGACAGTGTTTCAAATACTGTAACAAGTTTTAACTATGGCACAACACAAAATCCAAGAGGTATTGTAATTACTTAATTAAATAATTATATAAATTGATAATTACTTCAAAATATATAAATATACACAAATAATGAAAACAATTATAAAAATAAGTGAAATAAATAGTATTTTAAAAAAAGAATTTTAAAAATTTATGATAATGAATTTTTTGTTAAAAATAAAATTTAAACTATAAATATTACATATCAAGTTTATAATATAATATTTAATTATAAATTATTTTTTATTTTTTAAATATTATATACCATTAAATTTTTTAATAAATATGTAATAAATATTCTCATGAATATTAAAAAATTATTAATTATTAAAAGGTAACTTATATATTAATATTTTTTTTAAAATTAAATTATATATTATTTAAATTTTTAATCCAATAATATAAATTATTTTAGCACCAGAAATTGGTACGCGACAAATTGCAAATACAAATTATGGTGTATGTATAAGAATGGCACAAGGATATTGTGCTATTGAATGGTCTCAAACAAGTTCAAATTCATTTTCTGTTTCTGGAGATACAGGTTCATTTGATTCCACTATAATAGGTAAATTATATATTGTAATATTTTAATTACTTATTAATTACTTATTTCTATAATATATATCTATAGTTATTAGCAATATTATTATTAGAAAGAAAAATAGTATAATTATAAATTAAAATTTATTTAAAAATCAATAGAATATCAAATTTTTTATTTTGATAAAATGTTTATTCTTGTTCAAATTTAATAATAGTTATTTTGTACAAATAACAACTTATTTTCTAATTTTGAATGTAATTAAACTATTATATTGTAACTAACTATTAAACTATTAAACTGTAATAAAACTATTAAAATATATTCCAAAAATTATATTTTTTTTAAAATCATATAATATTTATTATTTTTTTTTATTTAATTCTTTAATAAAAATTAAAAAATGATTTATTATTTTTTCTTTCTTGAAATAAATTAATATTTCAATATTATTAAAAATAAATGAATCAAAAAATAGGCACTGAATATGCAGCACAAGCAGGAGAAAATTGTACCCAAGACTTTGTTATAATTCCACATCCATTTCAAAATGGTATTGCAATTGGTACAGAAAGATTTTGTGGAAATGGTTTTGTAACAAAAACATGTAAATATATTCTTATATATAATGATCATATTTAAACTATCTGTATATATAATATACAATTAATAAAAATACAAATAATAATTTTTTTATTTTAGCATATTCCAAACCATTTGTATTATATGTTATTACAAACGGAAATGAAATTGAAGAAATTGAAAATAAAGGATTTTCATTGACATACCGTCAAATACCTTGTACAGTTTGAATTGATATTTGACATTAGAAAATATAGAAATTAATGTATAATTTAATGTATAATTTTTTTAATTATATTTATGTAAATAAATTAAAAATTAAGAAATATAATATTTTTAATAAAAAAAATTAAAAATATATAAGAAATATTAAAAGGTATAAGTACTATTATCATGTAATACTTACATATTATATTAATATAGAAAATATTTAAAAATTAATTATATACAACTATAAAAATGTTTTTATCTTAAATATAAATGTTTTGTTATTATGCTTTTTATATTAATTTGAAGTTTCATATATATTTTTTAATTTTTATACATTAAAAGTTTATTTATATCTTTAATGTAATTTATCTTATTTTTTTTTATTATATTGATACTAACATATTGTACATGCTTTAATGAAATAACATAAAATGTAATTTTATTTATATTAATTTCTTATAACAATTAAGATAAATTATAATAATACAATCAAAATAATTTTAATGAAATTGAAATAAATAAGATATAAATCTATAAATATAAATTATTTGTATTATTTAGCCATTAAATATTTGCTTCCTGAATGTGTTTCTACTTCTTTGGCCATAGCATCATACCATGTACAAAGTTTAGTATTTTCTAAAGCATCTTTAAAAGCACTACATCCTTCTATACTTTTCAAAATTCCATAAACAGCAAGATCTGACAAATTAGGTTTTTTTCCTCCCATGAATGTACCACCATGTTTTTTAATAGCATATAACCATTTGTTAATTTCATCATATAAAGATTGTCTAACATCATCTTTCAAATTATGTCTTTTTTTTAAACGTTTTGATATAAACCACATAGCTATAGCACCTATATTTATTATTATTAATCTTTCCCACATTGGAAAATATTCTTTCCATTTACCAACCTAATTAATGAAATTATTTATATTTTTTAAATTTATATATTAACATTAAAATTAATATATATTTTATTTGATTATTTAGTTGTTGTCAAATACTTACTTCAGAAAACCAATTAAAAGTTTTGTAAGCTTCACTAAGTGTTCTATATACATTTGGTGATAGTGTATGTACAAATTCATCATCAACCCATTGTCTCCATTTACGTTCTTCTCTACAATGAAAGATATAAATTAATCAAAATATAAAGTTTAATCTACTTCAATATAAAAAAATGAAATGTTATTCCTTGTGTAATAAAACTTACATAATTTCATTAATGTTTTCATCTAAAATTAAATTTTCTTTATACATTAAGAAATATTTATTCATGATTTCATATTTTAATTTTTGATTTTCATCATGCATTGCTATACTTGGATAATATTCTACTAAATCATTTAATTTTTGTGACCTATCTTTTAAATATGATGCTAATAGAGAAACAATCATTGAACTATCATTTAAGGGCTGATATCCTGAATCTATTTGTGCTAAAAGTATTGGTACTTTTTTATAAGATGACCAAGATATTTCTTTTCGTAATACAGGATCAACTTCCACAATATCATAAGATATTCCATAATAATCTAAGAAAACTCTGACCTAAAATATTTTTATATTTACAATTATTAGAATTCATAATATCGTTGTTAAAAAATTAGAATTAAAATTTAATATATATAATATTAAATACTCTATATTTTGTTTAAAAAATATATACATCATTATTTAATTTATTATTTATTAAATAAATTATAAAGATATAAATATTTTACTTTACAACAGAAAGGACATGTCTGATATTGAAATAAAGTCAACTTTAATTCAGTAGGATCCGTTGGAGAAACAACCTATAATAAAAATAAGATGTTAAATTAGAAAAATATTAATATATAATATATTAAGTTTAAAATTTAAAAATATAAAATTTAATATAAAATTATAAAATTTTGAATACATATAATATATTAATATAATAATATTCAAGAAAATAGAAAAATTAAAATCAAATATATAAATCAATGTTTGAAATATAACTTTAATATTATTGATAATTATATTTAAATTCAATGTACTTCTCTAGAAACTGGTATTGATGGTTTTTCTTGGAGTATTTTAATTTTTTTTTCTTTTCCTTCCAAATGATAAGTTTTTGCAGCTTTTTTATTTATATACCAAGAATAACCTGTTGTAATAATTATACCAACTGGAAATCCAATAGAAATTCCTACTAAACTTGCTTTGAATACTGTTTTTAATAATGAAGATTGTCGAGATGCAGATAAAAAACTTTCATTTCGTTTTGGATATCTTTGAATATTTGCAAAACAATATAAATTTTGAGGTAATTTTGACACTCTTTGTAATATGGACATCATAGAGTTTTATTATATACACACGTTAAAATAAATTAATTATTTTAAATATTATTAAACAAATTATTTTGCATTTATTAATAATATCAAAAATTAAAAAAAAAAGATTATATTCAAATATTAATCACATTTCATTGCCATTTTAATATATAATGTAAATCATTAATAAATTGGAATATTGACAGAAAATATTCAGCAGAAATTCGTATTTTGATTTGTAAATTGTAAACAAATAAATACATAACTAATATGACTTATTATTTACATATATAAAAGTATAATTAACTTTGATTGACTATTATATTTTTTATATATAATATTATTTATTTATAAATTATGATATATATTTATATAGAAATAAAAATTTATTTTATTTGATTATTTTGAATATGTTTATTTCAATTTGTTATTAGGATAAAAATAATAATACTAATAAATTTAATAGTTACAAATTTTTTGTTCACTTGTATCATTAATAATTGATATCCAACTATGAATTTTATGACAAATAAATTTAAAGGTTACATAATATATACTATATGTACGCATCGCATGCATCACACGCGCGCGCGCATACACACACATTATGCGCACGCAAGATCTGAATTATAATCAGTAGTTTACACGTATCCATATGAAGAAAAAATTGAAACTGTCAAATTTAATATTAAATAGATTTTTAAAAATATAATCAAATTTTTATATAACATATGTGAATATTTATGCATGCTTATATATACACATACATACACACACATACACAGTTTGTTAATTAGTATTTAATTAGTACTTAAAAGTACAAAGTAATTGAACTAGATTTATGAAATAAAATTAAATGAAATTAAATATTTTTATAATTTTATTTTAAATATCGAAAATGGATATTATATCTATTATTTTAACAATATTTATTTATTAGTTTTAATAATAATAAAAAAATATAAAAAAAATAATAAGTTAACTTAACCTTAAAGTCAAATAAAACTCAAATATAATTAGAAGATTTAAAAAATATTCAGTATGGTAATAAAAATTCTTTATTTCAAATATATTTTTCATTTTATTTTTATTAATTATTATTTTTATGAATTAATATTTAAAATGTGAATATCATTAATAAGTAAATAATATAAATAACACATTATATATATATATATATATATATATTATAAAGAAAAAATAATTAATTTTAATATTTTATGTTGATATACTTATATTCAATGAAAATTATTTTAATGAAAAATTAATTTTTCAGCATGGTAGAGTAAAAGTTCGAACAACTGCAGAACAAGAAGCAATTAAAAAAAAAAGGAAAAAGCTGAAAAACTTTCACGTTATAAAGCTGGAATGGGTATTGTGTTTAAAAAAGTAATTTTATAAATATATCATTTAATATATATTTCAATATAAGATAAATTTATATTATGAATATAATTGAAGTACAAGATATTTCAATCGTAATAGTACAACTAAAGAGGTAATAATTCTTCAAATAAAAATAATAAAAAATACAGAATAAAATTTTTATAAATAAGACTTAAAAAATGATTTTAAAAACTTATTGAGTACATATATTGAATATTTATGTTGAATGGTGTCATTCAAACTTGAATATTATTTATATAGATAATATATAATTGTTATAATATAATATAAATTAAATAAATAAACTTAAATATAATTCAATAAAATTGAATAACATATTTTTATTATTTGCAAATATTTAATTGAATAAGCAAATAATTTTTTTTTACTATTTTATTATTAAATTTATTATTATTTGCTTGTACTTCAATAATTGAAATATTCTATATATAATTAATTAAAAAAATAAAATAAAAAATATAAAATTATTATATATGTTAAAATTTAAATACTCATTAGTTTAAATTAAATTATTTAATTTTATATTATTATGTTACAGAGGAAAGATAAGATTTATGATGAAGAACTAATGCTAGTTACTGAACGTATGGTACTACAAAATCCAGATATTTATACTTTATGGAATATTCGTAGAGAAGCATTTATAAATAACAATTGGTAATTATAGTAGTAATTTTTTTAGTTTTGATTATTAATAATTTATTAATAATTATTAATAATAATTTGAAAATTTTAATATTAAATAATAAGTATGTTTTTTATTATTTAATATTTTTAATTTTAAATTTTAATATTATAATTATATTATATAATTCGTTTATAAAATTTATAAATGTAATTATTTAATATTTATTATTAATACTAATATTAAATATTTAAATATTTTTATTTGTATATTAATAATGTTGTGAAAAATTTTTAATATAAAATAATGAAAATTCAAATGTGTGTATATTGTATATTCAAGCAAAAATTATTAAAATATTAAGTTAAAATTATATTAGATGTTAAAATTAATATTATACACTATGTTAATAAAACAGGGAAGAAAAGCTGTTAAAAGAATTTTATCAAAATGAATTATTACTTACTGAAAATTGTTTGAAACAAAATCCTAAATCTTATTGGGTATGGTATCAACGAATATGGATTATGAACCATTTAGTGGAATGTGATTGGAAAAAAGAATTAATGCTATGCAATAAATGTTTAAATTTGGATGACAGAAATTGTAAGTTATTAATGTTATTAAATATTTTATTTTTATTATTCAAAATATAATAAAATATAATTTTTATTATAGTTCATTGTTGGAATTATAGAGAGTTTGTTGTACAGAAAGCAGGAATTTCTCTTGAAGAAGAATTTCAATTTGCAACTTCAAAGATTTTAAATAATTTTTCTAATTATTCCTCCTGGCATTACAGAAGTCAATTATTATCAAAAATATTTCATAATTCCAATCAAAACGATATTTATGAAAAAAAGAAAGAAGGTAATGTTTTTATAAGATATTAATACTTTATTATTATTTAATCCATTTTAAGATTATTTTATAATCTTCATACAATATCAAAATTGTCTTTCTTTTTTAGAATTAGATTTAGTAATGAATGCTACATTCACAGATCCTAATGATTCTAGTGCTTGGTTTTACCAAAGATGGTTATTAAATACCCATGAATGTGTTCCCATTCTTTCTCAAGCATTAATAAAAGATAACAATGTAATTATTTTTTCTAATAAAAATATACCAATTGAATCAATATGTTTATTAATAAATAATGAAAATAAAACTGTTGAATGGAAATCTTGGCAAGAAACAAAAATGTCAAAATTATGGTTTGGAGAATTTAAAAAGCAAATGAATCAAATAAAAAATATTGAAATTAATATTGAAGGAATATCTTATCCTTTATTCTATATCAATCAGAAATGGATATATAGAAAAAAAAAATATAAATGTTGCTCTAATAAAGATCAATTATTAGAACAATTATCAAGTTATAAACAACTTATAGAAATGGAACCAACTAATAAATGGGCTTATTTAACTAGTATACTTTTAATGAAAAAGATTGATTTTATAAAATTTTATGAAAATATTTTAACAAATTTAAATATTCTTATTAATATCGATTCTCTTCGTTTTAATTATTATAAAGATTTACGTAAGTATGCTTAATATATTTGTATAAATTGTAAAAATTTTTTAATATCTAAATAATTAAAAATTATAAATTTATAATTATAAATATAAAATTATAAATTTTAATATATAAATTTATTTTTATTTATATAATTATTTTAATTATGAATTTTTATATTTTTTTCTAACACTTCTATATTATTATCATTGTAGTAATATTTTTAAAAATTAAGTAATAAATATTTTTTTCAGAGAGCAAATTTATAATTGAATATAAAATATATGAATTATGGAATATAGAAGAAGATCAGGAAATAAATTTAGAAATTGATCTTTCAGGATTAAACTTAACCACACTTAATAATAATGAATATCTCAGTTTCTTTGAACAAGTAAATCTTAGTGCAAACTGTTTATCAAATTTATTAAATCAATTATCTTTATTACAAAATTGTAAAAAATTATCACTTTCAAGTAATCAATTGAAAAATTTAAAAAAATTCCTACATTACAAAATTTAGAAGTTTTGTCATTAAGAAATAATAAATTAAATAATTTAGAAGAAATATTACAATTATTAAAAAGACATAAATTGAAGTTGCTTGATTTAAGAGAAAATCCAATTTGTAGTACCATAGAATTACAAGCTAGTATTATACAAATCAATCCAGATTTACAATTATATGTAAAATAATTTTTATAAATGCATACATGTGCAATTATTTAATCTATTGAATAATTGAATATTATAGATATATAAAAAATAAAATTGTAAAGTTGATTATGGAATAAATAAAAATCCATTATTCATATCATACATATATGCAATAAAAGAAATTTTGAAAAATTATTTATTTTAACTTTTATTTATATCAATATTATTATAATCTATATATATATCTATTAAATATTAAAATATATAAAATATTAAATATTAAAATTGATTAATGGAATTTATATATTATATATATATATTTTATTATTTTGAATTCATTTTATAATTTTTTTTTCAATTAATTGTTTTTATTTGAATTTTTATATAATATTAATTATTTTTAATAATTATAATAATATTATAATTATTTTAATATTATATAAAAATTTATTATATAAGTTATTCTATAATATTTATTATGATATATTTTATAGAAGGAAAAAGAATATAACATTTTCATAAAAACAAGCATGAAGAATATTTTAAATTCAAATTTATTTATTTGAATAAAGTATCTTTCAATATATTGATTTCACTTTTTATTTCTTATAAAATTATGTAAGTTTGGATTGAATATCAATTCAAAAAACTTGTTAAAAAAAATTTTAAGTTTAAGTATTAATAAATTCGGCAGAATAGTTTAAATAAAATTTAAATATTAATAAATTTCTATTCATTATCATATATTTTGAATTTTAATGAAAATCTCAATTTTCAATTTCTGAATTAGATATTTTGAATTTTCATCAAGATCATTATATCTAACTATTTTCAATTTTTTTTAATATATAATATTAGATAATTTGAAGTAAAAAATTTTTTAATTATATTGATAAACATTTTAAAAAAAAATTGATAAATTATTTAGTAAAAATTTCGATATTTAGGTTAGGAAATATACTTTTAATATACTTTTAAGGATTTAAGAACTTTTAAGAAAATAAAAATCAAATATTATTAATATCATTTTATTAATTTTTACTATTAAAACTTAATATTTTCTTAGTGAATAGGTTTTAAATAATATATTTTTTTTTTATTTACAGATAACAGACTTAATAATAATAGATTGATATGTTAAAAGATTTTATGATATATGTATTTTACATGTACATAGTTATTCAACTTATTATATTATATTCTTTTAAAATTATGAAACTTTAAAACATTTTTTCTATAATAGTTTTGAAAATTTTTAATTACTTATTTCAGAGTATCAATTTAAATGACTTATATATATCAAAATATTTTATATATTTATTTTTTATATATATATAATATATTAATAAATTATCTTTTTCTCATTAATATTTATCAAATTTAAATATAAAAAATATAATCACAATATTACTATTATTATATATAACATATGTGATATAATAAAACTTATTATATTTGTTTATTTTATGCAAAATAATTATTTTATAAGCAAATATGATTTTTAATTTTTTTTAGTATAAAATCATTTGTTTAATATATTAATATATTTTATTTTTCTAGTTGATTTTTACATTATACTTTTTTCAAATT